AAAAAAAAAAAACATATTATTTGCTTTTTCTTTGTTATGACTTTTTCTTTTTTAACGCACTATTCTCAAAATTATTACATTATCAATGGCTAATGGATCAGCACCAGCTTTGTTCAAAATTTTCATATAATGTCCTCCATCTCTTGCAGCGGCAGCATAGTGCATCGGTGTACGCTTGTTCTGGAAAACCAAACAAAATTACCAAACTTAAGCATAGTTTAGTCAAAACCAAGAAGATCTAATTTTCTGCTCTCAAAACACCTATGTGTTTGTCAAAAAAAAAAAGCACTGAAATGATTACAAAATTCCGCCTTGCACTACTGTTTTTGTCCAGTTACACCATTAACCGGTTTATCGTACGAAAAAAAGGAGCCAACTTTATGATTTCGCTCAATAAAACAGTAAATTGATAATAGCACAAAAAAAGGTTTGATTTACATAGTCGGGAGCATTGAGAACACTAGAAAAATTTGCTGCAATATATCGAATAATTTCAGTTTGTTCAAAAACGATTGCATTATGCAACGGTGTACAGCCGTATCGATCTCGGGCCAAAGCAGCTTTTTTTGATGTTATTAACTTTTTGATATTCTCCAAATTACCTTCTTTTACCGCTTGATGAACAGTATCAATTTCAGCCTATAACTATGTTACTAATTAGTTTTCTTTGTTGTTGACCAAAAGAAAAAAACAAAACAAAACAAAAAGAATAATGACAAAAACAGGTAAACAGGTGCAAAATGAAATAAAATATTGACAAGTTGTATCTGATAGAAGAAGGAAGAAATTACTGTAAACTTTCCTCTCATTGATAATTTACAATGGGCAAAATAAATTGCAGAATTTTTCAATGAACAAAATGTAATAATGGAAGAATGGAAGAAAATATCAATGGAAGAAACATAGGGGAATATTTGTGGCTATCATTTTTTTTTCTATCATCAGTTGTGCTGTTTTCATTAACTGTTTGCTACTGAAAACGGTAAATAAAAATAAAATTTATGGTAATAACCGTATCGGACTAATTACCTTCATTAAAGTACTTATGTGTAAATGTTATTTCTAATTATATGTTAGAAAAGAAAAAGAAAAAGCATTTTCTTAAATTTCACTCTTTTCAATGTGTGTGTGCGTGTGTATGTTTCTTTACATATGAGTTTTTATGTATCCATATATAATAGCGGTAATAAAGTTGTAGCAGGAAATTGTCAATATGGCATTGTATGTCCTTTAGATGTTGCCTGCAGAAGACGATGAAGATGATGATGATGATGATGATGACTGTGATTGTGACGATGACGGCGTTGGATGGTGATGATGATGAAACGACAACCATTTTCCATGGAAGTTCCTTTGTATTAAAGAAAACAGAAAACGGTTTACATGAAAAAAGTTTTTTTTTACTCCATTGTTGTTGAATGAACTTCAGATTTTTTGATGGGTGGTTCGAAAACAGGAAAATGAATGAAGAGGTAAGGGGTAAGCATTCCAAGGTCAATACTGTTCC